GCTGACGGACTTGCCCGGAGTGCTCTGGAGCTTGCACCAACGAAGAAGATCTCCCGAAGACCATCAGCTTATTTTACGAGAAGCTGTCAATAAGCATTTTCACTCGTTATGGCTGAGGCCTCACCAGCCATGTGTGACACAAAGGCTATCAAGGGAAGAGGACATGCTTGCTTCATCGCATCCGAACGGGATCAGTCCGTCAACCAGCATGGCTCCACAAGATAATACTCTCCGCGACGCCCTTGTGCCCGATGTCAAGGAAAGTGGTGATACAAAACTGTATCATTTCAAACTTCTGCAGTACGTGGATTAAACAAAACAAGCCACAATGTCTTCAGAACCCGCCTGACAACAGCTCATTATACTATATGCGTCAGCAACGCCGGAACATCCTAGCAATAAGGACAAGTTATGGCAAGCAACACGCTCAGTATCAAATACCCACAATGTTAAATCGTTTACACAGGTCTCATAGATTTCAATTCCGCACCTTCGAACACCATCATCAAGTCCATCCTAAAGAACTATGATATTGAGTATGCTTATTAAACTTTCTGTACTTGATTTGTTACATCATATCTATCAATTTGAGTTATGTGTTGTAGTTTCTTTTCTTATGCTTTATTTTACATTCTGTATTGAAGTTTCTGTTCAGATGACGCTTTTGTGATAAAGTGATTTTGTAATGTTTTCACTGAAATAGTGTGACAAGACCAAGCTAAATTTTGTTGTGTTATGGTTTATTTATTGTGTTATTTATTTATTTCTGTGTGTTATTTGCTGTGTTATATATGTATTTCTGAAAACATATGCGACAGATTGAGTGGCCTGCGTGCCAAACTGTATTTAGAAGCAGAGGCCCCATATCAGGCTATGTAGCCTTTAGCCTCTGCTCCCGATCCTGCAAGAATTTCAGGACAAATAAACTTCAATTCAATTCAATTCAATTCAAAAGAACAGCAAGGTTTATTCGAAGAACTGCGACGTTTAGGTTCATTATGTGGAAGTATGACTGATATTGTGTTTCCGCAGGGTCACTCGATATTCAGGAAACAGGTGTCGCGACTTCTCTTGAAATGTTTGAACGCTACAGACCTCGCATGTGACTGCATGGTGATGAGTGACAATCGTGTTTGGGGTGTGATGCAGCGAGATAGGGGCATCGGCACAATACTGCATGTGTAATAGCACAGAAGCAGCCGGCTTATGCAGGCTTACGTCCCGCTACGCACAACCATTTAAGAGCCTGCCCGTTAGTTAAAAAAAAAAACAAACGAAAGGACATCAGTTACAATAAGCAAAGAGGAAACCAGGCGGGGCAATTGCCTGCAACGTTGAGTACGGTATTGTAGGACAAGGCCAATGAGAACTAAAAACGCTTCCGGTTTCCAAGGAATTCGCAAAGAGGCACACAATTGTTTTGAGGCGTTGTTTACATCGGTGCCGTATTTTTTCAAGCATAATCCGACCCTGCATATCACCAGCATTCCCCCTTTACCTACTACTCAAGGTAAAACTTAACAGAAAATAAAAATCACATGTATTGCGGGGACGCTATCTTCTTTGCATCATCGTGAAGTAGGGCCGTGAAGCCAGCTCTCACACTGAAAGTTCTCTGTCGAATTATAAAATATATCGATCTACGGCCTGTTTTTTTATGTTCGTTTTTTTACACAGAGTGTATGCGGGTCGGAATTTATTGAATTCATAGGTTATATATTTTGTAGTTGTCGGCCTGGTAGAGTAAATTTGCAGAAGTGGGCCAATCGACATTTCCCCGACCTAAATAAGATGGCCATGACACGCAATTTTCGACCATAAACTGCGTTATGGGGGTCACTCTTTGTGCATTCACAAATAGGTTGGAGAAATTTGGGCGTATTTGGTGGAGCGAGTAATTTATAATGGAATATTTTTACGAACAAGCGAATGGCCCGATAGTCGCGGGCAACGCTGGAGCACTCTCGAGCGGTGATGTAAAGTTACAAGCATACGAGCGTCTGCATGCCGGTGAGCGATATTTCTCCGTGTTCAGTGGCGCCTGAAGTCGAGATATCTTAGCCTCGTAGTGCTCGGCCCTGAAAGTGAACGATTTGCAGCTTTCGAAACTGTGGCAGTGCTGCACTTGACGTGACAGACGCCATGGCGAAATAGCGTTCGCCGGTGTTGGGCGGGATTTACAGCCAGCGACTTCCAGGGCATTTTCGTTCTCCCACTGAAATAGTCCCTTACGGCCCACTTTCAATACCTGCATATGGCCTTAACTGATGCTGTACACTACTAGGTTTTGCTGAAAACCACAAATCGTTGGCTAACAATATAGCTTTTGGCGCGAAATAAACACGACAGACGGACAAGCGCAAACTATCAACTGAACCTATTTGAATGGCACACACATATATATGCACGTCAACAAAATCACAAGTCATAGTAGCAGAAAATAAATTCTATTACTGGCAAGTGCTCAAACAATTCATCTCGGTGGCAGGCAACGTGCAGAAGGCCTTGCTACGCATGTTTCACCCAATCTGTTAATAAAATACGCTTCCTCAATTTCTCAAGCAACTTTTCTTTTTATTCTTGCGAGTACCGTAGTTTCCGATAGCAAGGGTACGCAGTCACGCTCCCTGCAATGTAAAGAATGATTAGAACAAGGTGTCCCTATCAATGAAGCCTTATGGTCCAGCAATCTATTGTTCACACACCCTCCCGTCTGCCCGACATATCATATTCCACAAGTTAATGGTGTATCATAAACTACATTTTTTCCACACTCGAACAATCTATGACCGTGCTTGATGTCGCACCCGTTGTCCCGCTTGCTCTGTCCTGATAACTTCTCACCTACAGTGGCACAAATCCGGTCAAGGTTGTCTGCAGCAGAAAAAAACCACACTACATCCGAACCTCTCCCCAACTTTCTTCAGCTTATGCGAAACCGCGTGAACATACGGAATGCGTACTATGTCATGACCCGTTTCAACAGCGGAAGGGATTGGAAAAAACAACGATTTTCAAACATAATATCTGTTTGAAACAGCGTTGTGGGAACATCGTTTGGGAACATGTGTCCGCCTCGGTGAAACAGTGGCTGTAGGGTGCTGCTCTGCTGCCTAACTGACCCGAAAGTCACTGTTTCGATCCCGGCCGGGGTGGTCGCACTTTGATGGAGGCGAAGTGGTTGAGGCTTATGTACTATGCGATGTCACTGCACATTAAAGAACACCGGATGGTCGAAATTTCCGGCGCCCTCCACTACGGCGTCTCTGACAGTAGTATTATGGCTATTAGACATAAAGCTCCACGTATTAATAATATTAATAATTTTAGAATACCTTTCCCAGTCAGTGCAAATATGAACGAGCAGCTAGCACGACATGGGGTTGCAAATAAATCAAGCTGACATATCCGCTTCGATGAAACCCGTCTACTACAGAGGCAGAGGAAGGGAGCGCACTTCTCTGCAGACAGCAAGGCTGGGAGTTGATTATTAAGCGAACGGAGGTAAGAGGTGGAACAGCCAGACGTTTATACAGAGGCGCAGCCGGCTAACGAAGAGAGGCGACCGCACCAGCCAGCCTAACACACACATGCCCGAAAGAGCTGCCCCCTGGAGCCAACAACTGTACACCATCCCCACAATAACCCCTGAGAGACGAAGCGATAAATAGCCAGCCTCTCCAGAGACCAGCGTGTGTGCTTAGCGATCCCGAAAGCGGGCAGCCGCTAACTACGTCAACGGACACGCCAACAAGACACGCGCGCCAGCACGAAGCCGAAACCGAACAAAAAGCCTTCCCTCGTGAAAGAAAAACGCGTACGGGGCGGAGCCTTCACGTCGTGCCGCCTCTCTTTGTGACGACAGCCGTCAATCATCCGCGCTGTGCGAAGCCACGCCTTTTACTTAGTGGCTCGCCCTGCCATGACGGCTGCACAGCGCGGGCAGATTGTCACATAATCCGAACGAGAGCGCCGAGAAGGATAGAAATGCGCCTAGTATCTTGCTTGCCATCCTCTGGAACACACGTATGCAAAGTGGCCAGGCGTGCGACAGTAACTGGAGGGCTGGGGAGGAGCCTGTCGATCTGGTATAGCGGGTTCCTCCTTCCTCCGTTCCTTTCCGTGGTTACCCCTGCTCCAGGGTTCCGGAGGTTTCGGCCCGTCATCACTGTGACCCCACGGATTCTTCGTGCTCGCTGATTTCGGGGGTACAGGCTGTGTTTATGCGAGCTCGCTCTGAAAATTGCGCCACAAGACGGCTAGCGTTCTGGCAATCCACGATTCTCTCGTAGCTCGACGCGTCAACGGCACCCGGGCACCGTTTGTCTCCCGGAGGCCACGCCCCACTTCAACACCCTCACGCACACACACATACAAAACGAGAAAAGAAAGGAAGCCGTTGACAACGGCGTGGTGGCCCCTCCTCGAAAGCGTGGTGCGACGCAAGGAGGGTAACGGAAAGGAGGGTCAGGCTGGTGAGAGCGAAACAAAAATAGAGTAAATCAGACAGAAGAATAGCACCTAACCAACGAAAATCAGCTCAAGCCTAAAGCCTAGATGGCGGGTGAGAGAGGGAGGAGGACGCAAAGGAAGAGGAGGAGGTGTACGCGTTGCGCCGACCCTCGCGTCACACGCCGTCTCGGTGGTGTGGACGAGGTCTCCCCGACGAGGCGGCGCTGCACACACACGCACGCACACGCACGCACGTGTTCCACAACAAGAGAAATCGCCACTCGAAGCCCCCTCTAAAGCGGCGAAGAGGGGCCTCTCAGTGCCGAGTGGGACCTCGTGGCAGCAAGCAGCCAGCCACGACGCTGCGGACGCCCTAGCCGCGAGACCCTTGCGAGCATCCGAGACCGAGCCGACGACGCCAAGATGGCGGCTGCCCGAAGGATGAGAGGGGGAGGCAGCGAAGAAGAGGAGGTGGAAGAGACCAGATTTCCCTAAGGGGGGAGGAAAGGACGAGCGGACGAGAAACGTGACAGGGACGAACTCGTGCCGGGGACGTTCGCGAATCTGGGAAAGAGACGAAGAAATCCCACCAAAAGAGAAAAAAAGGGAGAAAAAAGCAAAATAAGGAAGCACGCCGGCGGGCATGGGAGCCGGCCGAACGAAGGCTAGGCAGCGCGGAGGCGCCGGCATGGTTTCGGTCTGCGGCAAGACATGTCCATGAGTCCCGCCCGGAAGACGTCCCTACACCGACACCAGGAGGACGTCGTTGAAGACGACGAAGACGACACGATCGCAACGGTGCTTCCGTCGGGCCGCCAAGGTCACCAGCAGCAGGGCCACAACAGCACTCCGTTCTCGGTGTCCGACATCCTGAGTCCACTGGACGTGAGCACTGTCCAGCAGTTGCAGCACTTCCACGACGACACGGTGTCTGTGAGCTGTGCGGCCGCCACCGGCGGTTTCGGAGGACTAATGATGAACAGCCACTACGGGATGCAGCTGGGTTCGCAGGGCTTTCCCGGTTCCCAGTATGGCGCGGGCCCTCCGGACCTGACGGGACACTACGCCGACCCGATGCGTCAGTCCGCGGCCGCGGCTGCAGCCGCGGGGTGGTACGGAACGGCACCGGACCCGAGATTTGCAAGTGAGTACACACAGCACCTATCTGTCCTTGACCACGTGTGTATACGCGTTCGTGAGCTGACCATTACGGGAAATAGGGAGTGCTCGAGTCCTTCACTTTTGTTTTGTTAACATCGCACCCATGTTCAACCAGGCAGCTCGACAAACTATACGGGCCGGAATAACCGGCTCGACAACAATGCCATACGGTTTTCATCGTTTTTGGGGTTCTTAACCCCGCACTCGGATAATCAACAATCAACACACCGGTCTTCCATCCCCCAAATGTGAAAGTGTCATTGGGATATACTATACGTGAAGCGCAGGCTAACGTTTCTAGAATATCGAGCGCACATATTTCCGTCCTGACTCGCAAAACTATCTGTATATGCAAAACACCACAAATTCATGTCACAGTCTAATGAGTATGATTGCAAATTAAAAAAAAAGACAGTGATTTCATCCTCTGTGAATGCGGATGCTAAATGCATGCGTTTCTAGAAATATGCCTATACTCGTGCTTATTAACTGGAGTGTTAACTGTGAAGGTCACATTTGGATGAAGTGTCCGTAAAAAAAAAAATGTACAGTTGTGTGTTGACCAACGCTATGTGCTAATGAAAGCAAGTCACCATGACAAAAAAGTGACAAGTCATAGTGGATGATTTAGGTAATGCGTCTTTCAGCGTTGATATAGCGGTCAACTGACTGATCTGTCATATCTATATCAGCAAGAGAGAGAAATAAATAAAAGGAATAGACAGAGTGGTTAACCGAAAAGAACTGGTTTGCTACCCTGTACAGGGGTGTGGAAAAGGGTCGGAAAGAGGATAGAGATATACAAAAAAATCAGCAAAGAAAACAAGAACGATCATGGTCTATAGGAACTGCGTGTCTAGACGGGAGCCCTCGTGAGTGGGGGGTTTACGAATATAAGTAACGTCGATGCCAGTTACCAACCAATCGTTTTTATGATGTTGAAACTTACAATTATTACTAACAGCTATACGAATAGACCTAGCCATCATGAGGTTATCAGGTTGTGGGCAGTGGGGAAACGCAGAGTTCACTTAGGGATGAAGGGGCATCTGACCTTTTTATATGTGTGTTCATGCGTGTGTTTGTATAGGCTCGTGTTTATGTAACACACCGGCTGTACAAATGTCTCGAAAGTTGGGAGAGGGGCAGCAGGTTTCTGTGGCTCTGGCAGTTGGATGTTTCATGTTTTCATGCACTTAATACGCCCCCGACGAGACCGACGATTTACGTGCCAAAACCACGATTTGATGATGGGGCAACACACGACGACGCAAGAAAAATGTTAATTTACGATGCAGAAAAGAAGAACTTATTCACCAACCAACATTTATATAGAAGGGTGGATGAACCCGAAAATGCATGAGCAGTGATGTTGGCCAAGAGCCGCTTAACCATATACGAACATAAACGTCTGTATTATTTATTCGAACAGTAGAACTTCCGGCAGACCTTCTCCTCGTAATGAGCATGCTTTCTTATGTTCACCAAAAACGCTTCACCGTCAACTATACGCCTTTAATTCACGTCAGTGAAATGCAGCAAAAGCGATTTTTTTTCAGAAATGAAATCAGTAAATAGAGACCGGTGCCAATATGGTGGCACCTGCTACTCCTTTTCTCTTAGTAGGCAAGATACGCCGTTAAGATAAACAATAAGGGCACAAAATGCGAGACTGTACAACATACGATGTGATAGTACACATTAGCCAAACTTCACAGGTTAATTTACATACAGCTAATAGGTTCATATGCGTCACATACAAAATCAGTTCACCTCACATGACAGTTCATATTCGCCCAATAGATACAAATGTATACAATTTCCACATACAAGGCCTGTTCACACTGATACACATGTACACAATTTCCCCATACAAGGTCAGTTCACACTGAGAGAGATGATTACACATATGAAACACACTATCTAATTATTACATATTTTTTGCATGAAGATGACCTCGCATCAATATACTTCCATAAAATATTTGATTCTTCAAGACACTTCTTCAAGGCGACAAGTGATCTTTTTTGAAGACCTGCAGTTGGCCATGGACCTAGTATTTTCGTCACTGTGAAAGGACTCCTATTTAAAAGTTGCAAACTTCCTCGTAATACTTGTTTTTGTGTTTCGTATTTCGGGCACTCCAGAAGCAGCTGACGTACATCTTCGTCAGGGTGGCCCCAAGAGCTGTCTGTATAGGCACACGCTTTATCCTGTGTAAGAAGTGTCGCGTAAATGCTGTACCAAGAGTAGGTGGTGGGCCAATGTGTCAAATCATCTATTTCCTCTTAGCTCTGATGGTATGCTTAGTTTTATGCAAGGGTCTATTAAGTATAAGTCTGAACTTTTAGATTTTTCGTCAAGCCATTTGTCTTTGGTGACGTTACAGGTTGTCTGTCTGAGGAGTAGACGCATTTCAGTGTGTGAAATCGGCAGAACAAATATCCCTTCGTTATTGTGGGCCCTATTTGCCGCGGCGTCCGCTGCAGTTCCTGGAATGCTGCAGTGACCCGGAATCCATTGAAACGCGATCACGTGGTTCATTTTTCTCGCTTTTGCGTGTTCTTTTGAGGCCTCATATAACAAGGAAGCGTTCTGAAAAAGCTTTTTATCACTTTGCAGCGACGTTAGAGCAGCCTGCGAATCGATAAAAATGACCCATTTTCCTTTTTTTTTTACGTGCCGAAACCACGATTTCATAATGCGGGGGAAACACAGAATGACGCACGAAAAATGTTAATGTATGATGCAGAACAAAAGAACTTATTCACTAAATAACGTTTATATAGAAGTGCAGACGAACCTGAAAATGCATGACCAGTGATTCTGGCCAACAGCCCCTTAACCTTATACGGCCATAAACGTCTGTATTATTTCATACCACCACCACACCACCGTATGAGCGTGTAACGCGTACCGTTAGACGGGAACTTGAAGCAGCAAGTCAGCGCCGCTTCAGACCTCTCCCTTCGAACAATGCTACAATATCAACAACCCCCGCGATCTCCGTTATTCAGGCGGTCGTAGGACAAGAATTTGCGAACTTCGGGTTCCCTGTCGCCTGCCCCGTCTCTCACCCCTCCTCCAGACCAATGCCCATCAATGCATCTTGACGTGAGCCATTCGTTCCTCCACGATCTCGCAACCCCACGGATTGGCGTACTCCCGACGACAAACCGATCTGCTTTCGATGCCACCGCGTTGGACATGTCTCCCGCTACTACCGTGCCTCCTGGACGTCGTCACATAGGAACCTGTCTTTCACACCTTATCACCCATATGAAGCTCTTCGCCGGTATTCGCCAGCCGTACGGACCCTGCTTTCGACACACCTAACAGCCGCCTTCCTGCTCGTTCTCCGCCCCCTCAACGCCGTCGTTCCCCGTCGCCCCAGCCACGCCGCCATTCCTCGCCAGCCCAATTTTCCATCGCGCCAGACGGGAAAACTAGACCGAGCAGCCCTTGGAGGCAGTGCTGCATCGTCTCCGTTTGAACAGAACCCTCTACTGACGCTTCCTACGAACAAGGATCTTATCGATGTGCACGTGGACATGTGTTGTTCACATTTGTCGCCGCTTACGAAAAGTATTCACGCCTCCTGCTACAGAAGCTGTACGTGTCGCCGATGACGGAACTTTTCCTCTCATCGAAATGTCTACGGCTCGCACAAGCATCGCCGACCGCTACTTTCCTGTCCTAATCATGGTACTCAGTAACTGTTTTCATGACCTTATCTTAGGGATGGGCTTCCTGTTGACATATTTTGCTCTGATAGACTGTTCCGTTGGTACTCATTGCTTAGACCTTCCTCTTCAGCCGGATATTCAACCTGAACTTCAACGTGGCCTCTGTGCCACAAAATTCCTCGACTTACCACCTAAAGCCCTCACATTCGCCCAATTCACCACGAATACAAATTGTAAAAAAATCCCATAATTCCCGCAATGGAAGCGATCGTTGTAATGCCGTCTGTGACAAAGGAGTCTAAAAGCGATATGATGTATTAAAAACTGTGGGCATTGGCCACCGACGTGCCTCACAAGGAACATTGTTGGCCTTCACGACGATTCTGCTCCGCCATTACAAAAGCTTCAAGCTATTCGCGGGTCTTAATGACACCGAAGTGTGTAGGTTGTCAGGAAAAAAAATTTACCCTTGAAGAAGGAAGGGAAGCATCACGGTTTATGCATGGTACTAATATGTGACACCTTTTGGCCGAAACATCTCTGCTCATGCTGAACGAATTTATCAATGTCCGCTTCCAATTCCTCAACGAATATCAAACCTGTAACTCACAAGCAATACTTGCATTTAATCACCACAATGCTGAGGATTTGAATTGAATTAAAAAAGTCAAAGAAACACTTGTACTTTAAAGGAAGATACTGAAACGAATTGCAGAAATTGCTGCTCCAAATAAATGTATTGCTGTTCAGAAACTGAAAACTATTCTTGTGACACCTAAAAAGCATTCGATATATCTTGAACGCCACAGCTGAAAAGTGGCAGCATATCCACGGGGTGAATGATGGAGAGTGGGGTGAAGCATCCGTCCATCCATTCGTTCTTGCTTCCGTCCGTCCGTGCGTCCGTCTATGTAACCGTTTGTGCGTCTATACGCCCGTTCATGCTTGCGTCTGTTCGTGCGTCCGCACGTCCATTCATGCGTACATCCCTGCGTTCGTCTATGCATCCGCCCCTGCGTCCGTCCATGCGTCCTTCCGCCTGTGCAGCCACCCGTGCGTCTGTGTGTCCGCTCGTCCATCTATATAGTCAACACTCCAAGCACCACCGTCGCATTTTTATCATATATTCCGCATATAGAAGCACCGTCATCCAGCGGACATTCCAAAGACTAAACAAGAGGTGGCACACGCACACTTTCTTACGGCTTGCGCTTCGTGTCTACTTCCCACCTTTAACCACCTCGAGTACATGGTATAGTTCACTGTATTCATGGCACTGTGGCTCAACGCTCACTAA